TAATGAAATTTTTGCCAGGACAGCGGCATTACCCAACACTCCTTTTTGTATTTTTGAATTGATAACTGTAACATACAATACAGCCTGTAGGATGCAGGGCCTTGATTATTTTTGACTAGACTCTTTTTCTATGTAAGCCCCTCTGATCTGTATTACTGTCAAGAAGAAACCTGATTGAAGAAACATCTAGCAATGTGAAATTTAGATAGATTTGTATGTTTCTTTAATATTTTTCTAAAACTCTATGAATTTCAAATAGAAATGTAACACTATCTTGAGAAAATATTGAGATAAAAATTATCTTGTTCTGTTTGGCTTTTGTGGCTAAGACATGTTAAAGAAAAGATTTACTCTTTGAATAAATCGTCTGTAGGAGAGAGTTTTTATTGAATAATTTAGGAAATTTCTATTGAAATTTAGAATTCTAAGATTGTTTGTCTTGAGGTATTTAGGCTGTGATGTTTCTTTATTTATTAAGTTTACATGAGTTTTCTGAAAGGAAACTTGAGTATTATGATGGAACCTATTAAATAAAAAAGTAGAATCGATTCTAATTTTATAGAAAGAAAGGTTTGCTGACAGCAAACTAAAAGTCATCACAAAACATCAGTAACAATTTGTGATTTAAGATAAAGTAGTAAGGTTCAATTTTCATCCTACTATGTAATTCTACAGTCTGGCAGCTTCTGTCTTATACATTATCATTATATTTAAGACCAAAATCTGAATTTGACTAACTAATATCTAGTTTGATGCTGCCATAATCATGGTTTTGGGATATTTTTCCAAACTGATATATCACTAAATATGCCACTGATAAGGATGTTGGTTGAGTTGAGTTTCACTGCTAAAAACACAATTTAACATCTCAAGTTATGAGAATAATTCCAAAGATGTTTACAATAAGTTTATATGATATGCCAATTCATGAAGTCAAGATGAAAGTAACTCTGCAAAGTGCTGAATTTTAGTAGCATTTGATCATAAGTATAGACATAAACACTAACATAACTTGAAGCTTATTCAAGATTATTCAGTTGCATTTAATTTGTACAGAAAATGTTACACATTTCTTAAAACTGCATGTTTCACTCACTGATCTTTGATTGTTAATGCACCATTAAAATTCACCAGCTCTCTTCACCGTGATCAATATTTAATTGCTTTTCTCTGTAAGTTTTTGTTACATTAAGTTTAAAGTGATACAGTCTTTTAGTTTTAGCTCTAAAATCTGAAAGGGTTTTGATTACTCACTGAGCTGACACACGAAAACTTAAAGAGATATAGAGATATAGTCGTGAAGTCATTTACTAACAATTTGTTGGCAGTTCTGATATATTTTTGTACTGCATTACGTCTGAAATGGATATCGTTCTTTATTAGCTACAAACTGATTGTAAATGTGACAAGTGTCAAACCACTCTATGCATTTCCTGTGAAGAAAGATTGCATTCTCTTTTTAATGCTGGGTTAATCTAAGGATATTGGAATGTTAAGAACAGGTTTGATTGATAAAATTTTATACTGCATTAAATATTGTCTTTAGAGATATAGTAGAAGACTGCTAGGTATATGTTTGCAGTGGTGGGTAAAACTGAGGCTTGCATTATCATAGCTAGCTTACACTAACCTTTTTTTTCTTTAGCTAGAAATTCATCTATATATAATTAAAAGTCAAGTCATATAACCTACTGAAGGATCTGAATTTCCAGACACTATTTTAATCAAGAAGACTATTAATAGAATTTTGTTTGTAAGTTCTAAATTGTGAAAAATGTCACTTACGACTTAAATTTATTCCCATCAATTGTTAAAAAGAAATAAACAACTCTCTATCATATCTTTATTTTAAGTCCTGATTTTGTTCCTTCTCAAATTTTAACTGGTTTGAACTTTACATTCGATAATAAGATCATTTCACTTTTAATCTTCTATATTACATTTGTATAATATTATTCATGAACGTTATTTCAAAATGAAATTTGATACAGAAAAAATGTAATTTTACTTTCTAAAGGGACAGTTGCAGCATTTTCGGGAGTTGATTTGGGCCTTGAATATATGTAAATAGTCTTCAGGTCTACTAAAAATCACATACCTCCTTTAAATGAGAAGTTAAACTTTATATTTATTTCGTTCACAAGCTTATCTTCTCTCTGAAATTTTGGGTATCGGAAAGTTGATCGTCTTGTTGGTATTGTCTCTGACACCAAGACATCTTCCATCACAGTTGTTGTGAGTGAAACAGGATGAGACTACTGTTTACATATGACATCATCAACTGATTTATACAAAATTGGTAATATGAAAGTAAAGTTTGTATTAATATAAGCCAGAAAAAGTGGTGAATAATGAGACATGAAAATTTGAATTAAGTGTGACTTTTCCAAATTGAAACTGTACCGAAGAAAACAAATTTTTAAGTCTAGAAGCTCTGAATACAGCCAACTGATATAATTAGATTTTCTCCCTGAAGACTGTAACATGTTAATACAATATGAGACTTCTATGAAAAATGTTGATTGTCATTTAGATTAGAAATAATGTACAATAATAATGAACAATTTTATACCTGTCATATTTTTGTATAAAATATAAGAAGAATTAAAAGGTAAATTGAGTACTAAGTGATAGGAACAATAATAATAGAAAAAAGAGATGTCTGATAATTTTATACCACCACATGGAAATATTGCAATCACACTTTGCCGTAAGACAATTTTTGATAATGAATATCAAATTGACTATATGGTTCTGCTAACTTCAGATAAAAAACCATGTTCTGGACAGCTTTAATTGAAATGCTGGTTTTACTTTCAGAATTGTTGCAATTGGAAAATTATCAAAGAATCCCTTTAGAATGGACAAGAATAAAAAAGCTGTAGTTTTACTCTTAATAATATAAACTTGATTCATCCAGATATTAAAGACTGGTGCTCCCCTGTAAAAGCCATCTTCACAATGTAAAGCTATTAGAAACTTTGTCTTATACCTTGACTGCAATATCAGCTATTGTTGTATCAGGGAAGTTTCTTAATTGGCTTGTAAGTTTGCAAAAACAGTCAATCAGAGATCTACATAGAAAGTCTGTAAACAATAAACCTTGATGTTAAAATCTTTCTGCCGAGGACTCTGTATGCCTGTATTCGCTGGCATACAATCCCATTAAATTTATTCCATGATACAAGAATAACAACTATTGCCGTCATGGTATAAGACAAAGTTTGTAATAGCTGGACATTGTGATGGTAAAAGCAAGACTTACAAGTAATAGGTTTAGAGATTGAATTATTTAGGTAGATGTCTGTAGATGTAATCAGGTCAAGATGGCAATAGAACAACAGTAATCAAGTGTAAAATACAGGATATTAACGTTAATTTGATCTGACGCCAGATTAGGTTCCTTGCTGGACACAGATTAAATTGGGCATTAATTAGATTGTACAATGATTAGATAGTCTATGTAAGGAATGATCTAAAAGTGTTTGGTAATCTTGATAGCAGGAGACATGAGTCATACACTGTTATAACTTATTACATTATAATTGATGAAAATCTTCACATTATTGTACATCATGTGGCCTATGGTCCATTTGCTGCAATGAAACCTCAAAATGTGATTCTTGTTTAAATTTGAAATTTTGATTGTTGATTTATAGGTCTACTGCGAGCATGTCTTACAGACATACAGACTATAGTTACTCCAAGATGCACTTTTTTAAAGGTTTATTTTGTACATGTTTGTTTGTAATTGAAAACAGAAGTTGTGTTATTAGTACCATATTAACACCACAAATAAAACTCTTCTCTATAAAAGTAATTATAAACGCCATGTCATTCTGTTCTGATGACAAACCCCACAAGGTTATAGATTGAATTGAGTTTGCATGTGTTAAAGATCCCTTATCAAGCACTAATTGGGCCCTAGGGAAATTCTCGCATGCTTTATGGCATTGTCTTCATTATTATATTCAATGATTAATTGTATCACAAGTCATTCTTCCAATGTGATATGCAAAACTGAGCTTTGACCAAGGCTTAACTCTCCCCAATGACTGTCTTTTGCAGAACCTTGTGTCAATTTTTGATTTAATATAGACAAAGTACATGTGATGTAGTGAGAAAGAAGTGTATTGTATGAATAATTCTGGTAGGTTGAAAACTACTTGCTGCTCTAATGTCTATACAAGTACATTCTGGATTTGAAACTGCACTAGGACATTGTTCCTTGTCCCTTTGCACCTTTAACAAAGTCTGTTCTGATAGGACTTTTATACTAATGTAGAATGTCCCTGCCTCTCTTGTAGGCTGCAATACTTGCTACTCTGAAATCTAGACGTGAAACGCATGAATACATTCTGGATTTGAAATACGAGCTTGCCCTATTGCTTTATTGTCTGCCCTGTTGCCCCTGAAAGAATCAAATTTACAGTTTTACTTGTTGATCTGTCTGACAAGGTTTGAAAGATTCTGTTTCTAATTGACAGGTTTCAGACTATTTTCTGCCTGATGTGGTTCTAATTTAACTTCATTAAGTTCGGTTTTATGCGCAGAAACAACCGCTTGTAAATTAAAAGTACTATATCCACATCTTTTCTTGTTATCATATAAGCACAATGAAAGCATCAGTTTCCTTTTCAAACTTTTATTAATTGATGGGATCTCAGAGTGTCCTCGGTTTTTCTAGAAGGCAATAACTGTGAGCAAACTTCAATCTGTAGTTGTGAAATATTTTGGTTTGACATTAAAGGACATATTCCCATTTTTTGGTGGTTTAGTCAAGTCTTGCAAATAGTCTTCAGAAGTACTAGAAATGTACAAAAATCTCAGATTTTAATCAAAAATACCTCAAACAAGGGATTTCACTTTCTATTTCTAAATGTCTCTTCTGTATATATGACAGTCTCAAGAAAAGAGGAGTCTTCATTTTAACTTTCAAATGTGGATAACTATGGACCCTCCTGGATTTGAAAGTTCAAATTTGAGCTCAGTGAGCTCGGATGGCTATTACTGATCAGCTTAGATATAAAAAAAATTCTTGTTCTGAGACTAAGGTATGATTGATCAAACATGGCCAATCTTTAAATGATTTAAAAAATGCTTTATAAGTATAAATTGTAGCTTCCTGCGCTATTTTTTCTTCGTCAGACAAAGTGGAAGTAGAAGACTTGAGGTTGTTGGACACGTCTAGACCTATTAATACTGATAACAGAATATAATAAATTTACCGAGGGTCATTATTAATCAATAATTCATTATCTAATCCCCATTGGTCTACTTATTTCATCTTATTAATCCCTTTATTACACAAGGTGAAAGCTGCCTTGATACAGTTGTTAGATAGCTTGTTACGCTGATAGAAATAGTGTTGTTATACTGATAAATAACTGTCTTGTATCATTTGGTAGATCTTGTTTTATTACAGTTAGATCTTGTAGATCTTGTCTTGTCATATTGTTAGATCTTGTCTTGTTACACTTGCAGTAAGCTGTCTTGTGTCACTGGTAGATCTCGTCTTGTTACATTGTTAGATCTTGTCTTGTTACATTGGTAGGTCTTCCTTGTCTTGTTACATTGGTAGACAGCTGTTTTGTTACACAGGTAGATATAGTTTTTTTTACATTGTTAGATCTTTTCTTGTTACATTGGTGGATCTTGTCTTGTCTTTTTGGTAGATCTTGCCTTGTTTCACTGGTACTGGTAGACCGCTGTTTTGTTACACAGGTAGATATAGTATTGTTACAGTGTTTTGTTACACTGTTAGTTCTTGTCTTATTACGTTTCTAGAATTAGTCTTGTTACGTTGGTAGATCTTGTCTTGTTACACTGTTAGTTCTTGTCTTATTATGTTTCTAGAATTAGTCTTGTTACGTTGGTAGATCTTGTCTTGTTACACTGGTAGTTCTTGTCTTGTTACACTGGTAGTTCTTGTCTTGTTACATTGGTAGATCTTGTCTTGTTCCACTGGTAGATCTTGTCTTGTTACACTGGTATGTTACATTGGTAAATGTTGTCTTGTTTAACTGGTAGATCTTGTTTTGTTTAATTGGTAGATCTTGTCTTGTTTAATTGGTAGATCTTGTCTTGTTTAATTGGTAGATCTTGTCTTGTTACGTTGATAGATCTTGTCTTGTTACGTTGGTAGATTTTGTTTTGTTCCACTGGTAGATCTTGTCTTGTTTCAATGGTAGATCTTGTCTTGTTTCACTGGTAGATCTAGTCTTGTTAACTAGTAGAAAGCTGTCATGCAGTCGTGCAGATGTCCTAAGTCCTTTTAGATAATTGTGGAAAAACTCAAATTGATTAGTGGAACAAGGGAGATATTTAAAAGCTGGTTATGATGAAAATTACACTTGAGAAACACCATTTACATCATTGATTGAATAAAAAATGTTTTAACTAAAAATTTGATCAATGTTTTAACGGAAACGATATCCGAAGAGATTTCAATTGGTGAACAGATATAGAATGATGCAGATCTTCTTATTGAAGAAAAGGAATGAGTTCATGTTATTCATTGATATTCATTAGACAACAAATTTGTTACAGTTCAAAATAAATAAAGAGATGCTGCAGAGCCTAAAGGGAGCAAGTAGATATGAATGAGGGACATAGAAAGTTTTGTTGAGGAAAGAGGAGAGAGAGTGTGTGATGTGAAAAACTGAATTGAATAACTGATTAAATCACAGAGTGGCACAGGGTTATGATTATTTTATCCATAAAAAACTCAACTGTTTAAAGAAAGCTTAGTTAACATGTTAAAATTTTGAGTGCTTGAATGAATTTTGCCAGAACTGTTGACTCTTCACCTGGCCTTGTGAAAGAATTGTCTTCAACTTGGTATCTGTCCTAGGGTAGCAAATAGAGTGTAAATAAAAATAGTAAAGAAAACAAAAAACCTTAAAGTAGTATTAAGGATCCTCAAGAAATTTCCACATAGTTGATCAAATAAAGAATTGTATAAAATGAAATATGAGATTTATAGATGAAAGAAGATTTCCAAGGGGATTATGTATTATAGAAATTGCAGAAAAAATGGCATCATTTAATTTCTGGTTTTTAGGACAAAATTCCTGATAACTAAGTTGGCTTCATGACAGGAATACAACAGTTTCATTTCTTCCCTTTTCTCAAACAAATCAATAACATTTCATTACAGCATTAATATTTTTTTTTCACTTAATCTCGTTTCTTTGATGTTTTCATTGTACTAATCATAAGGAGAAAACTGACAGTGGTATCTATTGAAACCAATGTTATAAAAAAACAAGCTCCATTAGAACACAATAGTTGACATTGAACCACAATTTGTCGATGTAATACACTAATGTTAAGGCTTCTATATTTCTAAATGAAGTTGTACATCATACATGTTTGATAAAACTAATGGACTATGAAATGAAGAAAATTTTGATTTTTTTCTTTTTATCTATCCATGGAAAATGTGCAGCCTGCAGCACATTCTTTTTCACAACCTTACTACCAGATATTTTTTGTGTCCTTCACTGAAAGGAGAAAACCAGTTGAAATATTCAAAGGTATTATCAAAGGCCATATGCTGGATAAAACCCTTGAACTTCAGGTTAGAAAGCAATCACTTACAACTTACAGTATCCCACAGTCTAATTGAAATAAGACCAAACTTACCTTCCGTTTTTATTTTTATTAGCTTTTATATTAATATAACAACTTCAGTTAGGGTCTAACGACAGATCAAAAGTTAAAGAGAGCTGTCATTAGACTTGAACTGAAGTGGCTATATTAAAAATATAAAAAAAAAAGTTAGTCTAATTTTAATTAGACTACAGTATCCTAATGCACAGTTGCTCTACCTCTCGATTTTCATATTTCCTCACACCAATTTGTGTTTTATCATGTTCTACAAGTGGACTTATGAGAAGTCCTCTCACATTTTCGGAATCTTGTGTTGATGTCATGAAAATAATGAGGAAATAATGATTGGTATTGAATTGATTTGGTGAGATTTGGAGGAGAAGGAAAACAAACTTTAATTCATTCATCTATCTATTCAGTCTATCCTTGAGGGGAATATTTACAATCAGACGTAATAGAAAATGGCTACTTGAATCATTGGAAATTGATGTAATAATGTCAAGATTGTATAAGTGCTACAATACTAAATATGATTAGATCTGTCTAAGGATGATATATTGTTTGTCAAGCTTTCTGGTAAGGTAAACAGTCATGCTGTCATGCACCCAGACTAAATATCATAAAGATTTCAATGAGAGTGGACTACTGCTTTTTTTTGGAATTGGAAACTGATATCAAAAATATCTTGCTCAATAATAGTTGTGGATGAATTATTGTTGATCTTTACAAAATATATTTAGGAACAACAAAAATAGTATAAGAATAATATAGGATTTTACGCCTTAACTACTTAATCTTTGTCCAATGAAAATGATGAATATGTCTTAAAAATGAAAAGGAAAAAGGAAAATTTAGAATGAGTTCTAAAATAGAATACAGCAGCAAATGAAGTGAAATAATTCTCATGGAAATTTTAACCTCAAGCTTTCCAATTTGCCTCTCATCTAGAATAATTACTTAATGTCTGCCTATTTATTTCATTTCAAATTATTCAGGTTGGTACGTACTAAATATTTTGTCTGAATCATAGCTTAGTTTGTATCTTAGTTTATACCATAGTCTCAGAAAAAGAAAGTTTTTAGTTAAGACAATCAGTAATAGTGTTCACAGCTCATCGTCAAAATTTGAGCCTTCAAATCCAAGTGTGTTTAGAATCATCTGTGTTTGAAAGTTGAAAAGACAAGTCTTCTTTACTTGAGACACGGCCATATTTAGAAATGATATCTACAGAAATAGAAATGAAAATGCAATTCCTAGTTTTCTATATTTGTTATATGATTTATGTGCATTTCTAGAACTTCTGACTATTTACATATAATAACTCCCCAAAATGGCGCATCTGTCCTATTACATCAATCAGATTGAAACAATTGTGAGCAGACTACCTTTATAAGGAAGATGTGTAGAGATGTCAGTTGGCAGGGAATCATTTGAGTAATGTTGCTAGTAATTAGTCTATGCTGGTGTATGAGTCTGTGTATCGACATGTTCTGAGTTTAGAATACCTACTTACAGTAGTTGTTTTACTTTGATTTGGACAGTATTCATCTCCCTCTCTTTATTAACCATTCCTCCTTCTTTGGATTTGGGAACAGGCTCTGGCCTACGTTACCCCTTTATTAGCTTTCCTCTTTACAATTTTCTTCAATGTTTAAGTGGTTTGAAATTGACCAGCTGGCTGCGTTTGGATCCATACTAACTGTGATTGTGTAGAGTTGACTTCTGATATAGAGTTTTACATGTTACTGTTCTGAACCTCATTAGTTTAACATAATAACATCAAATGCTGTGCATTTCCGACTGAATGTAAAGATTTCAACCAGTGTTGGAGTAAAAGAGAGTACGTTGGTGATATTGATACCAGTGGGGGTTGTCTAAGAGTTGTGCTAATTATTGACATTAGAAGAACACCAGACTTACACTATAATAGAAGAGCGTTAAGGGATAATTGCATGTTGAGTCCACATTGAAACACCATACACTTCATGTCTGATTGCCATTATAAAGGAAATGGATTGGAGATGTTCTTCATACTGTTATAAACCCTATTGTGCTAATGAAGATGAAATTGCTATACTTTAAATGTCTTCTGTTTGAACATCTAAATTACCATACAAATTGACTTGAGCTCATCTTATACTACCAACACAGGTTTCGGATAAATAATCCTGATTCATACAGATTTATTGGTTTGGAAATGAGTTTAAAAATTTTGTTGGCATAAGAGAGAGTTACGTTCAGTGATGATAGTCATCTGTAGATATGAAATACATGGTGACTTAAAACTCATGTAAAATGTGCCACAATGCATTTTATTTGGATTTTAGAGTATTTTATTATTGCATTGGTTAATAGAGATCTTTTGGGATCAATCTTTTTGATGGGGTATGAATATCTCCAATATTAAATTATGTAAAACAATCAGGACATATTGAAATATTTCACAGATATTTCTTCATCCTACTACTTCAGTGACATTTAATGTAAGAATTACAAGCAGGGGATACTTGTTTAGTAGGTTAAACCTACTCCTCTACTATATTGTAATACCAGGACCTAGGTTAAACCTACCCCTCTACTATATTGTAATACCAGGACCTAGGTTTAACCTACTCCTCTACTATATTGTAATACAAGGACCTAGGTTAAACCTACCCCTCTACTATATTATAATACCAGAAACTAGGTTAAACCTACCCCTCTACTTTATTGTAATACCAGAAACTAGGTTAAACCTACCCCTCTACTATATTGTAATACCAGGACCTAGGTTTAACCTACTCCTCTACTATATTGTAATACAAGGACCTAGGTTAAACCTACCCCTCTACTTTATTGTAATACCAGAAACTAGGTTAAACTTACCCCTCTACTATATTGTAATACCAGGAACTAGGTTAAACCTACCCCTCTACTTTATTGTAATACCAGGAACTAGGTTAAACCTACCCCTCTACTTTGTTATAATACCAGAAACTAGGTTAAACTTACCCCTCTACTATATTGTAATACCAGGAACTAGGTTAAACCTACCCCTCTACTATATTATAATACTAGGACCAGGAAGATTGAACATGGAGATGAAATATGATAAACTCTCTTAAATAATATATTGAAGTTTCAGTTCATTTATCATTCATTTCTTACAAGAAGGCAAAGCAATTGTTAATGTCTTAAAATAAAGGAGTAAATTAGAAGATGTAAGATCTATTAGAATGAATAATTTATTAGAATTTATTTAAAAGGCCACTAGTTAAAAATCCTTATGCAAGTCACGATTTTGCAACTCCATGTCCAAAATTTAATTGAAATTAAGTTTATTCACTATAAAATACATCATCAACGTAACATCATAAAATAACAATGCAACATGCATGTAAATATATTTTAGCAATTTAGACCTATGATCTTAGACATGGGATCTAGACCAGTAGACCGGTGTATATCTTTTTGAAAAGTTCCTTTATTGAACAGATAGCTAAATACACATTCAAGTATGTTCTGCATAATGTATGTAATAAACATAACATTATATAGTTAAAAACTGAATAGCACATTTATTTGTTTTCATAGCAGTGAAAAAATCAATCACATTTGTTTCAACTAGTTGCAAAAGTGGATTAAAATCTCCTGGAGTCGGTCACAATTTCATTTGTGACTTTACTTTCCTTAAGCCCAAAGGACTATGGAAAGTACATCTCCTGTTCCAAAACAAGCTGTCCTGATGCAGATTTTGTATGATGACGACATTTTGACAGCATGAGATGGATTGATGAGCTGATGATGTCAAGGTGACTTTAGGTTTCTGACTGGTATGAAATAAACAAATTCATTAATTCAACAATTTATAGATATCAAATGATATTACTGTATATAAGCATAGAGGGAAAACAATATGTGCAGGTATAGGGAAAACCATACATCACTTACAGAGTGTGTAGAGTGGATGGCAAACTGGTTCAGGATCACTTGGATTTTGGACATTTTGGATTGATTGACTTTTTATCAAATGGTTGGATACATCTTCTCAGTCCTAGTATATCTGAGACTCTTAAAAACTTTATATAAGTTAATGTTGGAAAACGTGAGACAATTACTGATGGCCAACTCAGTTTTATATGGTCATTATTTTATTCCAGACTTTTCATATATAAAAAATTTAATGACTCGAGTTGTTCTCGAAAATTTCTCTTAAGATAAGAAATTACTAGTCAAACATTAAACTTGAAATAATATACTTGGATAACACCACGGCTATTTCTGAGTTTTTATAGGCAGTTGGGTTAGTATAGGACAAAAAACTATTTCATTTTATTTTTTGACCTATGATTTTCCTTTTCCTTTTTGATTGTTGCCATCTAGGACAGAAGCTTATCTCATGGGGCTGGCAAAAGAGTGACCAAATTGAATTTGGGAGACCACCATGGGATGAAACTTCAAAATTTGAACTAATTATCTCCCAATTTTTTGATAAAAGTCATGATATTAAGAAAAAATAGCCAAAGCCATAGTTAATAAACATAATTATATTATATTTTGATAATTTCCTGCTCTGCTTGTGAGTGTACACTGTTCCATTCTGCCTAGTCTGTTGTCTGAGGAGCATCTGTAAAGTATAAACAATGTTAACATAATTTTTCCCCCTTAACTTTGTTTTGCTTTAAGTGTGATATTGCTTTTAGTGGATGTTTTCCCTATGATCAGTATTTCAGATTATTAATCACATTACTATTTTTACTGACTGATATAATTCTGTTTGTCTGGGCCACTAATAATAGTTTCAACTTAGTAGGGTTTAATAGGTACTTTAATCCTGTTCAAACTAATCAATCAAATTAGATAGTGTGGAAATGTACATGGTCTAAGTCAATCTTGGCATTGTACAGCCAGATCTGAATTCATAACCTAAATGCAACTTTATTCTTTAAATTGACATGTCTGTACTTCAGGTTTACACTTTAAAAATGGTTTTCCATGTTCTGAATCATATAATCTGAAGTTTTAAACTTGTTTTAGGGTGCTCTTTAGTGCATTTAATTAAAAATCCAGTGGGTAATATTATCTTGTAATTGACTGGACTTAGAGAATTAATGGAATTTGAAGGAACGAAGTGGAAGAAAATAGGAAGCAGTATGCCAATATACTGCAATACCCGGAGATTGCATTGATATCTTGTCTCCCAGACATGTCAAATCTTCCTCAGGTTAATCTAGTTCGATTAGAAATAGCGTAAAATTGAAACTTTAATGTGAAATGTGATAAAGAAAGACACTGTAACATGGAAATCAAAGTGAGATATTTTATTCTACTGACATATTACAACTTTATACTGTTTGCTAGGTTCTAATTCTTGACAGATTGACAACTAGACTGCTTTTAGATTTTAAGTACTGTATTCACTTTATTTACATTCAATTTCAAGATTTGCAGTGTTTTGAAAACCGGCTGATAAACCAGGATGGATCAATTCCAAAAGCTTTGGACAAAGACCAGCTTGTATACGAGATCCTCAAAACCCAAGTTGTTATCCTTTCAGAATTAGAATTAGAATTCCTGCATTCAAAAGGACACTATTTTCATATTGAAGATATGATGAAACCATTTTAACCAACATGACACCATCAATATTTGACAACCTATTAGACTTCTGAAGCAGTTATCAGTTGAAGGTGTGAAAGTTAATCAAATTCTTCCTGTAAGAATAATTATATATAGGTTTTTTCTTGACTTTTCCTAATTACTTTTTCCTTTCTATTTCTTTTATCCACAAAGGGCATGAAAACTGGCTAAGAATCAATTCACTCCCAACCATAGAACTAAGAAATTGTCAAATACTAGTTTAACAAGTACCCATTAATATATCATCCTATAATTGATTATATATGGAATTGGTTTTTAACATGCATCGTGTATTGAAGAAGTCAAACATCTTGGCCAGCTTGAAGAATTAACTGTCTTATATTAAAAAGCAGATCTGTCAATCTGTTTAGAATTGGCCTCCTGGTAAAATTTCTACCACTGCTTTTTTGTATCTTTGATCTTCCTGTAAATAGGTTAACTTTTTATGTTGGCTAATAAAGAGATATAATTATTTACGATCAATGAAACTGTCTAAAATGAAAAAAGTTTTGAAAATTACTATAGCTGCTGAAATGATGGCAATTAAATGTGATGCTTCTGTATAAATTATTTGAAATTTTTTACTGATGTTGAAACTTGAGCTTTAACCCCGACAAAAACACAAAATATTTAATACAAAACATCAGACCATAGTTTTAAATTGTCAGTTAGTGTAATTGTATTCACGTTTTTATGCTGAATTGAGTGTTGGAAATCTTTTCCTTCTGTTGAATATGAACAGAAAATGTGATCTTGTTAAATTGATTCCTGCTGACTGAGTGAACGTGAAAAATTGGAATAAAATTGTGGAAAACAAATCAGTTATTTGAGTTGTTCAATTAGCTGTCTATTGATAAAGCCCAATAGAGTTCTCTATCAATATTTATATAACATCATCTATTATAGAGTTAGTAATTACTGTCCTGGATAGGTCAAGTGATGTTGTCATCTAAATATTTAACCTTCCAACAGACAGAGCTATCCAAAGTTTTACTGTTAAAGAAAATCAAATGTTTGGTTCATGTGTCTAATAGATGTTAGTCAGTTTTTTTTAACATAAATTTTGATCTTGATGTTATTTGAGACCTAATACAGGATTGACAATTTATCAAATGGCAACACTGTGAGTGGAAGAATGATGTAAGAAATCGCTGGTTAAATACAATTATTTACACTTTGTATTGACTGATTATAAATTGCTATTGGTTTATTGTTTTTTCATCTGTCTGACTTGACTATCAGGATATCTTAATGATTTTTCTACTATTTATTGTAGAAGATAATCACTCTACTTTCTTTATCAAGGGTAGTATGAAAGAGTCAATGACATCCATAGGCATGGAGGAGGGGGTGCTTCCTGGCTCTGACACTTGAAAACAACATCTTTAACATACTGATTTCAAATGCCAGAGGCCACGTTGTATCCCCTCTTCCAGGATGTGAATAACTTTATAAATGCCAACATAATATGCTGTTTCCTGTCAGAGGTCAAAAAGCTTTTGACAAAACAATATTCTTAGAACCAATTTAATAGCTGACTAGATTTTTAAGAATCCGTATTTTCTTCAACCATAAGTTTTATATATTTATAACCAAGCAACTATATTAACATCTTATTGTGGATGTTCTCGTCTATGCTGTTTACATTATGAATTTATACCTAACTTTTATCAATAATAGCTTGTTTACTATGTATTTTGTAGGATATTGTGATACAAGCGAGACAAGTTATTGCTGTATTTTCTCTAGTTGGATGGTAAGTAGGATGTTTAAATTTCAGCTTGGTTTAGAATCTCTTGACTTTGGATTGTATTAAAAGTATGTCTAATCAGATCACCAAATGTCCAAAGAAGTCTTTGCCAAAGCATTTATTTATGGATGCGTATTCTCAGAAACCTTGTTTCTGCGTCCTACTTGTGCCTCTGACGCTAAAATAGTTCTTTGACCTCAACAAATGGGTAACATAATCATCTTTCTGAGTACCTGTATGTAGATATGGATAGAATATTTCTGTATAGTTTATTGTGCATACTTGATGCCTTTTATTAATTTCAAATTGAAATACACACGTCTACATTAGTAAATTGCAAATTTCAATGTGAAACAAATATTTGAAGACTGCACACAATTCATTGTAATCATTGTTTTACAACTTCATACAATGAAGTCCATTTTGATTAGGCATCATACTTAACTATCAAAGGGATAAACATAAATATTTACTTAAGCAGCTTAAAGGGATTGTAAAGAGGTTTTCTAACTTTTTATGTGTGTCAGGGACACTGATAGCATTGATTTGCACCTTTCTTATTTCCATTGAGACTACTGTGGGTCTTAGAATATGATTTTCCCATACCACTAGTTATTTGATAGTGAATTTTTATTGTATTACTGGAAGCTGAAACCTTTAGTACCAGTACCATAAGTGTTTGGGGGCTATATTGCTTTAAAATGAAATGTTATTGGTATGATATTGATAGTTGTTAAATAATTTCTCTTACAGTTTGTTTGTGATATTTGTAATATGGCTGTTCAAAAAATATATTGTGTTTGCTCAGGTATATATTTTTAATTACTTCAATCATCAACTATCTTAAAATTGTTATCCTATCCTTGATAACATTTCATTGCTAATCTCCAAAGACTAGTGCTGGGAATAATTATCGAAAAATGGATTATCGCTCTTATGTCATGTCAAAATCGATTATCGCAATTATCCGGTAATTCTGTTAAATTAATCCCGGGACCATAATAAAAACACGCTTTCGGCAGTCACGTACAGCAAAATAAACTAAGCTTAAGTCTTTATTCTCGTATGTTCTTCCATTTCTTTGATTGTATATGATCATAACAATCATTAATAAGAAAAATTTCAATCACAATAAATTAGTACAAAGTTGTTATTATACATATATATAATTAACTGAATACAGGTACCGATATTTGGGCATGACTTTCCCTTTATTTTTCACACGATTGTAGTTGTCTCCCTTTTTTTTTATCAAGTCTAATTACGTAACGACAATGCTGATTGGATAATCAGTGCTGTTTATAAATAGAAGGGTAATCACAATTCGTATAACAACGGTGCTTAGTATTTTAGTCTTGGTTGTCAAGAACGTGTGATGAAGTCTATTATTACTACCATTCAACGGTACATTTATGCCGATGGCGATATTGACGAAAACTAATCTTCCAAACGTCTTTAAAACAAAAAGATTGGCCACATAGCAAAGAACATGATAATAAGCACAATACACATGCTAGCATCTAACACTATCATTACATATAAGTAAGTGGTAGGCAGCCTTAATAGTTCTTGAAATGAGTCGACTACTTGACCTAAAATTTGAGTATCAACATTACGATTTTTATCGATTATCGATCGGAAAAGCCTAACGATATATTGCTGACCATTATCTAACCTGATTATTGACCATTATCTAGCCCCTGATTACTGATCATTTTCTAGCCCCTGATTGCTGACCATTGTCTAGCCCCTGATTACTGACCATTATCTAACCTGATTATTGACCATTATCTAGCCCCTGATTGCTGACCATTATAAAGCCCCTGGTTACTGACCATTATCTAACCTGATTATTGACCATTATCTAGCCCCTGATTGCTGACCATTATAAAGCCCCTGGTTACTGATCATTATCTAGCTCCTGATTGCTGAACATTATCTAGCCCTGGATTGCTAACCATTATCTTGCCCCTGCATTCGGAAGAAAACACATGAACTGCAGACACCAAACTTGGATTTTACTGACTTTAGGACTTATTTGTATCTTGATTTGGATATATTTAGGGGTAGAGATCATATTATTAGGTTATTATGTTCAGTTATAACTTTATATTTTGGTTGTATAACTTCACTTGATCTCTACAGAGTGTATGAGTAATTTGGTAATATATTTATATTGTAGAGATTGATATTATATTTATGTATCGGAGCCTGTATGGATAGTATAGCATATATAATGGTAGGTAATTGTTTTTATAAATTTTCAGATTTTCATATGATTGGAAATCCTAATGTTTTGAAGAATTGAAATTTATGACCTATGAGTGGTCATCAGTGTGAAAAAAAGAGAAGACTTATTTGTGTATTCTCTTCACTGTTAAATACAGACTTCTCCAACTTCAGTAGGGACGCTGGCAGAATTATATAGGTCAGATGTTTGAAGATCACATAGCGTGAATCTCTGAGTAACAACAACATGTTTATTTAGGTTCTGTTTTAATATTTCCATACAGACAGTGGTACAGAATATCACTTCTATTCTAACTTACACTCTCATTAAATACACATCACATCAAATGTCAAATGTCGGAGACAATTATAGCATTAGTATCATTTAACTTACTGCTACAGCTTATACCTGACTTACAACAGCTCAGCTTCTTCCTGCTTTCACATGTAACGAATAATTTTGTTTTCTGAATATATGTATTCCGAATTTGTAATATCTACAATTTTCATTTTATCCATAGGGTTCCATCACACAAAATGTAAAACTCTTTTATTTCATGGAAACCAGATTTTGTGAATATATCTTCCGAAGTAATGATGTAAAATTGTATTTTTCACCAGTCCGAGGCAAATACATACCCATACAAAATAAACAACTTGCAATGTTATCACTATAGGTTTAAATCAGTTTATTTAACTCTTTGAGACCCAAGTGAATAAGATAAATCATCATATTCCCTAAACACGAAGTAAAATAATGTTAACATTATGTGATGTCATTTGGTAATGATTACTGTACTGAAGGCTCTGGTATATATCATGTAACTATGTGACTAGTGGAGTAGCCAAAAGTTTTTAAAGGTTTTAGACGCTCTTCAACAAGCTTATATTGATCTCAGACTGGAATTTCATGGTCATTAGATTGAATCCATTTATTAAAGTCCCTTCATCACATTTGATTATACAGATAAATGAACAATTCTTCACGAACTCAAGACAGAATCACAGTTGATGATTCAAGGGAAATAATAAACAGTAATTTATCCCAGACAGGAATTCAAGTTGATAATTATTCTGATCTATTGTTCTCGCCTAATCTCTCTCACAAATTGATTCAATCTCATTTAGCTTGAAATGGCACTACACAAGATAGAAATCTTTGAGTGTTGAGACAGTTAACCTTCTCTTTCATAGATTATTTATTGTGTCTAAACCGTTTATGTGTATTTAAAACAGATTTGTACCACGATTTAGTCTAAATACTCAATTACCCAGTCTTTTATCTTATAATCTTCTAGACATTTCTCGGTCACAAGTTGAAATACATTTGAATAAACCAATTAGTTAAAGACGGCTAATAGAAAATAAAATAACAGTTGGAAAATATAATTAGGTCTATTCGTGCCTTAAAAGAGAAATGTCACCTTCACCCCAAGAGTTATCTTTTGAGTTTGAAATACTGTTGCACCATACCTTTGTGGTAGACCGTTTGATCAATGATTAGCTGAAAAAAATGAATAGATTGAAAGGTTTTTTCTTGATTTTTTATGTGTAATTGGGACACTGATAGCATCAATTTGCATCATTCCAATTTTCAATCAGACGTCTGTAGTTCCTGCAATTCCACTAAAACTAAATGTTTTATGATGTCACTAATCGCAAAATATGCTTTTATCGCATAATTTTCTTTACGATTAGTGAAGTCAAGAAACGCTAAGTTTTAGTGAAATTGCAGTAACCACAGACGTCTGATTGAAAATTTGAATGGTACAAATTGATGCTATCAGTGATAAACATGAAAAGTTAAGATCTTTATAATCCCTTCAAGAAGCTGTATGTGCCCTATAGAAAAAGATATTTGCTGGTTGGAGGAATACAGTGTATGTAACATTATTGAAAAACTTCAAACACTATTGTTATGTTTACAGGGAGACATGAGACCTGACAGTCCATTATGTAATTTTGAAGGCTGGTTTTTACAATATTTTGGTAAGGAATTTCTGTTACATTTGAATGATTTATGCTACCTGTATTTTGTTTTGTGACCCAATATCATAAGAACTCTTACCATAAAATCATGCCTTGTTTAGCCCAAAGCGATCATTGTTTGAAATCCTAATTGATGTCTCCATTGCAAATTTCCTTCCAACTTTGTGGGAAGATGGTTTAGGTAAATATGTCCAAAAAAATGTCTGTTTAGTTTTCCAACTGTTTTGAAAGCTGTAAATCAGTCAATGGTTCTCTTGTGCCATGGTTTAGATTTTGAGTTTTTTTTTTGTGAATTGTAATATATTGAAATAAACTATAAATTATTGTAGATGGAACAGTATTATTATGGGTTCTGGTAATAACTATCAATCTATATTTTAATGTGGTAAAAGAAAGAGTCACAGAAAAATTTGAATGGTTGGTAAAGAGTCTTCTTTTACCTTTCATTTCTCTCTTATCACTAAATAAAATGAGGTTGTATATTGTCTTTACAATTCAATGAAAGTAGTTGATAATGCAATGAAATACCTGGTATTTATCCTGCTTGTCTGTAAAAATGGCTCTTTCCCAAATAAACTTGCTATTGCCTGAAAACTATGGCTCTCTTCTCATGTACAACATGTTTCTGAGCTAAATGACTTTTGAAAATTGAAAGGATTTATTTTGTTTTTAATGTATAGATGTTTCAATCGTTTGATATTCTATATATACAGGGTTTATCATGCAGTATGTTGGATAGTACCATTACTGATATCATTCTTGCCTTTTATTGGTGACCATTATGGTCCAGCAGGTGCTTGGTGGTAAGTTACATGTTTTATTTTTATTATGAATATGCAGGAATATAATTTTACCTGACATGTTAATGTATGCAGGGTTTACAGGACCATTAACACATAAAAAATTCTTTTCAGAAAACAATTCTGAAGTTAAAAATGATGAATGTCATGGTTGAATCCATAAGGATTCTACAGAACTAAAGTTATTTACGCAAGACTCTCCTTAATCCCCCCTACAGACAAAAACAGACTCATTTCTGGACTTAATACAGGGTCCCATCAGAAGGCTAAAGATATATTTTGTAGTAAGGTTATAAATGTCATATTGACAGTAGACCTGTGTTATAATTATGCTGTTTGATGTAATACAAATTGTATATTCCAGCTGGATTATAGAAAATTGGAGGTGGAGATTAGGGGTGTAAGTAGAACCATATAATTATTAATGTTATTCTGGTCAGAGACAGAAAAACTTTTGAACAGAAAGTTTATCATATAACTGTCAATTCATTCTATACCAACGTATCTAGTTTTGCAGGTTTACTCGGTCTTTATTAAGGGTACATAACTCTTTTATAAACCTGTTCACAAAGCGTTTGTTGTCAGAAATTTTATATCTTTAAGATAGTTGCAAGGAATTCTGGTGCAGTGAAAATATTTACTGTTCAGATTATTAAACAAAACAATTATTATCCCTGCATTTCCAGCAATGGTTCACTTTATATTTCTATTCCACTTACTATATCTAAAAACACTATAATGTATAGCCTGCCTTGTAGCTGTATCAAATTTTGCTATGCTATATATTCTTCAACAAATGTAAAGCAATTATGGTTCTCTTTACAATATCAATTAATTTTAAAAATATGTAAGATTGTATGTTTTTATTTCAGGTGGTATGGACCATTATTTATTATCATCATATTTTTATTTGTTGTATATACTTATATATTTATAGTTTTAAAACGAAAGGTAAGAATAATTGCATTATATACTTCTAATGTACTAACTACAAGACGAATTTGGTAAAAACCTATAACTCAGAGAACAGATAAGGAAACATCACAAATAGATCTGTCAGTAATATTCAAAATAATAGCATAAGAGGGCCTTCAATTATAAGCATTGTATAAAATCATGTACAAATATGTATAAAAAATGTAATGAAATGTATAACAGAAATTGACCATTATGAAATTGAGACTATTTTATACCTATAAACTTATAGAATTTAAGCAACCATGAGAAATTAGTGATATGAGTATTATTATCTTGATGCAAGCATGTTTCAGGGAAAAATTTAATATTTTAGGCTAGTACATGGGAAGGAATGTATAATCCAGATATAGAGAGAAATCAGGTTGGTCAATATCTACTTTCATTTTATACTTTCAAATTTATTTCAAGATTCTTAAAAATTGATATTTTGTGATGAATTGTTGGCAATTACGCTTTATGTGTTATATGTACATATTAACAAGTTGTGTTAATGGGAGATATGATTATAACAGTGTACTTATTTGTATTTCAGAGATTATTAAAAGAAGACATTAAACCATTAAAATTTTACCCATTTGTCTATTTACTGGTGTCAATATTTCCTTTAATAAACAGGTAATATCCTTCCCTTTTAATTTTTTTGAGTCTAACTATCTTTGTCACTTTTTAGAATTTCAGAATAACAGTGTACATTGAATTGAATGACTACAGATAAGTTGAATTGATTCATTTGTCTTATGACTAACTCACACAGATGATAAATTGTTTCTGTAGCTTCCTGTCATATGTTTAAGAATAGCTATATCCATACAACTACTTTACCAGAGTAAACTTGTATTCAGTATTGGTCTATCATCCAAGTTGAATAATACTTCTTCATAATAATGACTGATTCTCACTACATCATCAATGTTCTATTACAATTTCAGAATACAGAATGCAATTAGTCCTCATAATCATGTTTTTGCATTGGTTTTACTTGCCTCCATATTTGCCCCTCTACATGGTAAGATTTTCTTATTTTTATAGACCTTAGTACTATATTCTTAATTTCTAAATACTTAAATATTCGTTGAAAAATGACATAAACTTCAACAAAGGTTACTCTTGCTTTTAAAGTAAATGGAAGAACATAAAGAGATTGTATACAATGGTAACATTTGGTTATGGTACATATTTGTATGAATTGTTGAATTTAGAAATAGTCCCAACATCTGCTTATATAGTACATATTAAATCCTTGGCTCTTCTATTTACTTTTAGGTGCATTAATTGCTGTAGTCTTTGGAATGGATATTGAAACGATAAAAAGACTTACTCCACGACAAATAATGGTAGGTTTGATAACAACTTTTATGAAATAGTATAATTTTAGTCATAAACTCATTCTTGTTTCATAAGCTTTTCTAACAACTAGATCACTAACTAAAGAGTTCATCTTAACTAATGTTTCACAACTTGTATGATAAGAATTCGCTTCACATAAACCAAAATAAAGGAAGACAATTCGTTATGTAGCTCTCTAAAGGACTAGTAGTAGCATATTAACTTTAGAATTACAATATCTGCTGTGTTAAACTAGTAGACTTGCAACCCTTCATGGCTTACATTACAGTCCAAAGGATTGTTTTTTTAACTTTAAACTATTACAAAATCATCAGCTTTAAGTGCTTATCCTTTCATATCCTTTATACCTACTGAACACTTTCACTGAACACATGAGAGGAAGGCATTTACAGCATTATTTTTGCATGTCCTGAGAGGCCTGACTTTTTTTTTTTAAATTCTGATTCACCATGCTTATTTTGATCAAACTACAATGTTATGCCTCTTGAATTCTCTAATCAGTTGTAATTAAAACATAAAAACCCTCAAATATGGTGCTTTATAGTTTATACTAACCAAACTAACCCACTGTCCTTTCCTCCCTAGGTAGCACTTCAATCTCACCGTTACCATCAGCCTGTACGAGAATATCCTGTTGCCTTCCATGTACCAGAAGTCCATCCTATTCCAGATCCAGTTTCACCTAAATTTAGGAATGTGTCTTATTCCAAACTTCATTGAACACAGCAGGGTAGTTGGTTCAGCTTTGGATTTTTGCACATGGTCTGACTAGATGATGTGCTTGTTGCTAAGATAGAAATGTCTGACTAAGTTGAATTTGAAGACCTTAGCTCTATTTTCCATTTATGCCTGATTTAGTCCTAAGGCGAGTGATGTCAGACTAGATATCTGAAGAATATGAAAAAGAATGATTTGGTTCAGAGAACATCTGAAAATAGTTTCCATTGCATATCAAGTGTAGTGTCTAATGGGTTATTTAAGGGGATTGTGTAGAGATTTTCTTAACATTTAATATGTATATGAGACATGGTATCATCAATTTGCACCATTTAAATTTTCAGTCAGACATGCAATCATGCAATTACACTAAAACTAAGCATTCTATATTGCAAAAGCTGCTATTGATACAAAAGGACCTTTCCAAGAGTTACATCATAAAAAGCCTAGTTACAGTGAAATAACAAGAACCACAGAAAATTAGAATGATACAAATTGATGCTATACAAATAAATTTTTTTAGAACCTTTTTACAATCCCTTCAATATGTATATCATATATAGGGCCGTGGTGAAAAATGAATTTGTGAATTTGTTACGATTTTTTTAGAAACTTCAACACTTTTTATCCAGTTTGGATGGAGATTGATATATATTTTTATAATGGCACCTTAACCTTAATTATCAATTCTTAACATGCAAGTTCGTAAGAAAATATTATTTGCAATTGCTGCTGTATGCAATGTTACCTCGCCTTTTATGTGCAGTGTCATGTTCAAAGATCTGCTTTCATTTTTTATGGTCACAATATAAAAAGACAATCATGTCCCTTTTAGTCAAGTAGATATCATAGATCATAGTATGTTTTATGGGGTTATTATTATCTTCTGTGTAAATAATAAACAACAAAGTATTAGAACCTCTGCACAAACCTTCAAATCGAACAAGTTATTTTGTTGATAACCCATTTCAATTTTTAATTTAACCATTTTATATTTATATTGTTTTTATTTCACTTGTTTAACCATACTAACATTCCATTTCCATGGCATGAAACAAAGATGACTTCCTCGATTAATGGAAGAATGAAGATTGATTTTATAATGTTGACACCAATATTGATTGGCCAACTGCAGTTATGATGATAAGTAATGAAGTGCCTAAGAGGCTTAGACCTGAGTTCAGAATCTTGTCAGTGTATTCTTATCAAAGTAACTGTGGAAGGTCTATCATCATTGTTTGACCAATCTCATTGCAATTGTACTTATTTTTTTCGGATATTTCTAATCACATTTGTAATCTAACAAATTTTTTTCCACAGTCGCGTTGTAATGATTTTATGTTTAAGCAATCAAGGCGTGTAATGTAGGAACTGTTTCTTGCCAACAACGAAAAATTGTTGGACAGTAGAACTCCAAATAGTCCTTTATGACAGCCTTGTTCCACAAATCTTGACAGGGCAAAGGCTTGCCATAGCCTTTTGGAAGTACTACTATAAGGCCTTTTCTGTCAATCATGCTCTCTAGTATTTGCCTCTGTTCCATCTTTAGTTCAAAAACATTGAACTTTGGTAATATTGCTTTCATCACTTTGTCCAGTTCCATCATTTTGAAACTCCTTCTAAAAGTGATTCTGGCGGAAAGCTGGTGCATGATTGGCTGATTTGAATAGTTTGTAGTTCTGTCAGAACTTGACTGTGGTGGAAGATTACCAGTTATATACCAGATGACTGTCTATTGCTGTGCTTTTGTAAGCTTTTAGAAACACTAGGCAGTAAGCCATCTTCAAGCTATTGCTAACTGCGTCTAATACCTTGACTGTAATAATCAACTTCTTAGTATCATGGAAACTTGTTAATGCAGCACCCTCGACTGTAAGTCTGTAAACAAAGCAATAATGTTTACAGTGTTTATGTCGAGGTCTCAGATTGACTGGGGGTACAATTCAATCAAATTGATGTAATGCTGTGATACTAGAAAGGTGGCTATTGCAGTCAAGGTATTAGAAGCAATTTGTAATAGCTTGACATTGTGAAGTTGTCAGTAGGCCTTTATAGAAACTGGGCATTATCTTTCTCTAGGATAAACTAGTGGATAATCACCCATCAAGAATGAATTGATGTTTGAATTATGCTTTAAATATGTAAAAGTAGGATTCACCATGTGATGGCCATTTTGTCATTTTTTGTATATTAGCTGTGTTTATTTTATATTTTTATATTTAAAATGATAATACTGTATATATAGTATGAAAGATAATAAATGATATCTAGCTTTCCCCACAACTGATTAACTTAACTTGTCCATCATTTTTCCTTCATACCCCACTAACTCTTCCACATCCTCTTCCACATCCTGATAGCCTTCTAGATGATCCTCAGAACTATTATCTATGAATTTGTACTTAATGGTACTAAGCATTTAACAGCTTTATTGTACATTAGACTTGCCTGTTCAAAATATTATGTTCAAATCAGTAATCAGAGTTAAAGTTAAGGTAGTTTACAGTTAACCCAGTATGGAACACTCAAATATAGGATGATCAATTTTTTTTGCTTTCCTTTTCTTAACTACCTGACCCAAATTGACATGTTTTACTAAATGTGGACTTTGGATGTATGTGGCCATGGCTATAATCTGTATTTATAGTCTTTCTTATGAAAAGGGCAAGAGTTTAAAGCAGAATTTGAAACTTGGTTGGCATGATGGCAGAGTATAGGTAACGTTTATTTTAAAAAAAAAATTCCATTTATTAATTGTGATGTGAATTATTTTGCAGGTTGCTGTGATGGCACACAGAGCTCCTAAAACCCAGTTACAAGCCTACCCTGTTGAGGTGAACATTACAGATCAAAACATTGATGAAAGTCAGACAACTGAAGAATCAGCAGCTATTCCAATTCCTAAATAATATTACAACAATAAAAAGTATCAACTGAAATAATATTTCTAATAAGCATTGACAAATTGATCTTCCAGTATCTGAAGTGCAGATCAAGTTCATTTCTGTGAGCAGTTCCACTTGACAAAAGATATTCTCTCTGAAACAGATGCCATGTTGCCAGACCTTCAATGAGATTACCGTCAAAATTTTATTAAACACTCTTTAGGCCTTGATAGTAAAGAAGATATTTCAGCAGTGCAATGATGGTGTTTGTAGAAAAATACAGCTAACAAAAACCCATCAGAAGTAGAAATTAAATGATTTATCACATTACTGACAACTTGATGTATTTCTTCAGTTTAAAACACATCATGTGTTCATCAACTCGCAATAACATCTTCTTTACTACAAGGAAATAAATGAATTACTACATTACCTTTGTATGAATTTTATAGGCATTAGGGCCTGTTTTTAATTTTTATATCTTTTTACAAATGAAAATATTTTTATACATATTTATTGAACACCTTTTCTTGTGAATGAGTAAATAAATATTTTATTGTTTTTAGGCTAATGTTGCTTCATCACACATGACTTAAGTATAAGTACCGTAGTCTAACTTCAGTGCCAGTATGAGTAGAATGTGTAATAGAATCTATAACTTAAATATTTATTCCTTTTTCCTTTTAAGTCATTCTTGTTTTGGACCTGTAGCCTGGACTTGAAGCAACATTAAAATGCCTTATTTTTTTTATGTTGGAGCTAGGCCTACATTCTATTGTGAATTGTTTTTATAATAATATTTTATTATTTTTACTAGTATCGAGTGCCTGTGATAAAATATATATGAAATACATACATTATTTTCTTTTAAACTTCACAGTTGACTGAAAGATCTAAATCTATAGCTGCGGAATATCTAGGGCTAAGTTTACTGAACACTGGTTTACCTTGGGAAATTTGTTGTGGTCTATGACTATGTCAGTGATGATTGGATGAGACATATCGTAACATCGACAAGCTACTTCGACTACTACTGAGTGTGTGGAATGAAAAAACATTGAACATGCTTTCTTCTTTTAGTGTCAATCCTTTCGAAACAGGAATTTCCAACGCACAATGTAGGGTGTCAACCACAGAGCTCAAATATTTATTACAACCTTTGACATAGAGTTGCTTCCCTTTAACAGTCACTGCAAGGGAGGTAATTCTTCGTGATAGAATGAAAACAAAAATCGAATCAGAACTGTCATTCATTTCATGCCTATATTTCTCTTTTACTACGAATCTGTGATTGACATTTTGTCTACAATCTTAAAGCCTGTCTTTATATTGATCGCAAGGCTGATGCAAAAGGGATGTATCTGTAGATTTTAAGTTCTGTTTGGCATGGTGTGTGTGATGTGCTAAGTTTTATTGCTGTCAATGCTGATAAAGACTGAGTTGAGATGCCCCCAATATGTAAAGTACCAGGTTGTGAACATAGCAAATTGTCTAAATCCATGCTGTTGATTTCTCACCATTTTCCAGCCAATGATGATGTGCGTAG